AATAAATAAATGTCAAAGTGAGCTCCAGAAAGATTACCCTGCTGTGCCTGTACCGCGAGAGGGCTGGGTCCCAGAGGACTGATTCCTGAGGAGAATCCATCCCTGGGCCCTGCGGAGGAGGCAGAGTTGAAAAGACAGTGAAGGGGCCCAGCAGTCACCAGGTGGAGAAAGTCAGGCTTAGAGAAGGGATATATGTCACCTGCCTCCTAGGCTGCCCAGGAAGCAAATGGTGACCCTGGAGTCCAGGCTACCAGTTCCGTGTCCCTGGGGCATGCCTTCTCCGCCTCAGTTTCCCCCTCTGTAAAAGGAGGGTGAGAATGCACACAAGGGCATCAAAGTAAAGACGGGAGCATGCAAACTTTGGTGGGCGTTGGAGCGCTTCCAAGGTTCTAGATGGAGTTTAGGAGCCAACGTGGAAAGTGGGTAAAGGCTCACTCGTGGGAACGCACACAGTAAGGGAAGGGATTTCTGGGCTGTCTGAGAGACGGGACAGTTTTAGCGGGCTTGGGGTAGAGCCCGAGTGTCCCAAAGTCCTGGGAGGTCATTGGTGAAACCTCAGGGGCCTAAGTCGGGGAGAGGGATGGTGTTAGCATCTGAAGTGACACAGAATAGGTGGGGATTTCTTCTGCCATCCTCTGCTCACTGTTTCTATCTCTTCTTACTTCTTCCCTGCTTATCCCCTTGCCTCTGTCCCTGCCTCCACCTCTCCCCTTTCCATTTCTCTCCCCTCTCTCCCCATTGCTTCCAAACCTTTCTCCCTCCAGATCTCTCTCTCCTCTTACCCTTTCTCTCTTCCCTTCTTCCTTCCCAGCCTGGTTCTGAAAAGCTGGCAAGGCGAGGAGGAGCTTGCTCTCAGAGCCCTGTTGTGAGTGGCTCGCTTGTGTATTTGCGGTTTACCTACCTGTAGAAGATTTATACCCCAAATCTCCCCGCGCTGCAGGCAAATGGTTTTTAATTCAGCTCCACAAATATTGACTGTGTTCGGGCTAACTGAGTGTACTTTGTGCTAGAGGTGTCGGAGAGATGCAAATGGGAAAATCCAGTCCTTGGAGGAGCCAGTGGGGAGCCCCGGCCCCTGTTGGTATGAGACACATTCACTGGCTTCCTGGAAGATGCTGAAGGGCTCTCTGTCTCCCATGTACTCTGGGTCCATTTCTTCCTCCGACGAAGTGCAGAAAGGGGCATTTTGCCAGCTTTGGGAGATCTAACAGGACAGTTCATTGTGAGCAGAATCTCCAGGCATGAGGCTGAGCTCAGCCTGGGCCACTGGAGGGACTGGGTACACATCTGTCTGTTTGCTGCTCACAAAGGCGTTAGCTGGAGCTGTGGACTTTTGCATCTATTTCTTTCTTATCGATTTTACAAAACCCATGGCATAAGTTGGACTTTCTGCTCCACCAGTTTTGTGTTTTGTTTTGTTTTTCCCCTCTAGAGCCATGCTAGGCTTTCAGTCCTGCAGGGTTGGGTCCCATCATGGTACTAAGTTTAGAGCATCCTCCAGAAGCCCACGGACAAAGGGAGACTAGAGAATCGATGGGAATGAGATTTGAAGAGTGAGCAGGGGCAGAGCCAGGAAGGCTGCTCCTCACCCCGGTTCACTTGTGGCTCATAGCAGGCCCACACTTCCGGACCCAGGCGCGATGCTGGGCAGCCTTGTGACCAGTCCTGGCCAATAAATGAAGCTCAGAAACCACAAGTAGTCCTTGAGGGCTGGATGACCAAATTATCTGCTGAAGCTTCCCAAAAGCTCCTGCTTCTCAAGTCTTGCAAACAGTCTCGACCCCTTTGGGGGCTGCGCCGACTGATCCTTTCACAAGGGTGGCCTAAGACCATTGGATAACAGAGATTCATAATTGTAACTACATTATGATCCATAACAGTAGCAAAATTACAGTTATGAAGTAGTAACAAAATAATTTTATGGTTTGGGGCCACCACAAGAGGGACTGTATTAAAGGGTCGCAGCGTTAGGAGGGTTGAGAACACTGCTCTGGAGGGTTCTGCTTTGCTTCACCTGTGAAACGCCCCAGGTGTTGCCCTGCGGCCCATCCGTAGCAGATAAACAGCCCATGGAGGTGTAGTCAGCTGCTTTAAGCCCCTGGAAGTAGGGATCCCCTGTTGTTGCCCACACAGTTTGGCCTGTTTCAGCAGTCTTGGGAAAGCAAAGCTGATATGTTATTTACTGTGCTGGAGTTTGAACCCAGGACCTCATGTGTGCAGGCATGGGCTCTACCACCGAGCTACATCCCGGCTCCCAAAGCTGGACTTTAGAGGCAATCTTTCTACTTTGGATGGGCATTGGAAAGATACGGTCTTTTTCTTTCTCTACGTCTGATCATTGACTGTCCTTTGTCCTGTCAGTACCTGTAAGGTGGTGGGAGAAAAGGGGAAGTTAGGCTAGGGACAGAAGCAAAGGTGGCTTTATCTGTAGTTGTTGAGTTTACAGTTTGACATGGGAATAGGAATTGAAATCTTTCCTCTCCACTGCCAATGTGCTGAGGACAACAGGGCCATAGACCACTGCCATTGGCTGTGGCCATACACTTGAGAGGTATCTATCTATCTATCTATCTATCTCTCTATCTCTCTATCTCCAATCCATCTCCTATCCATCCTTCATCTATCTATCTATCTATCTATCTATCTATCTATCTTCATCATCATCATCATTATTATCTATCTATCTATCTCTCTATCTCCAATCCATCTCCTATCCATCCTTCATCTATCTATCTGTCTGTCTATCTATCTATCTATCTATCATCATCATCATCATATCTATCTATCTATCTATCTATCTATCTATCTATCTATCTATCTAGTTTTTTCAAGACAAGGCTTCTCCGCGCAACAGTCCTAGCTGTCCTGGAGCTAGCTCTTGTAGACCAGGCTGGCCACGAACTGCAGAGATCTGCCTGCTTCTGCCATCTGAGTGCTGGGATTAAAGGCGTGTACCACCACCAACCGCCTAGAGAGGGCTCTATCTTAACTTCCTACTCCAAAAGAACAATACCTCCCCATCTGTGACTTCTGTGTACTGCGTGCCAGTCATTGTCCTGGGTACCAGAGTGGGGTGGAAGGAGAGGAAGACAATTTGGTCCTTCAGGGAGAGCTCTGTCTACAGGGCATAGTGGCTGGAGATGGGGTTGGATCTAGAGCTCAAAGCATAGAGGACGGAAGAGGGAACTCCAGTGAGAAGTTACAGGACACTTCTGGAAGAGGTGGCAGGTCACCATCAGAGCCTATTCCCATATCGTATGTGGGGGCCAATCCCAGATGCCTGGCAAGGCTCACCATCCTTCTCCAGCACATGGTCCAACATGGTCCAAGCTTCCAAAACCCGAAAGGAATCATTTCTCACTTCTTCCTTGGATGTGTGACTTTCCAAATGGGCTTATAGGGAATATTCAGGCTTGACAGTGTGGTTTTCCTGCCCCAAGAGGAAGGAGAGTGGGAGGAAATGCATGCAAATCCTTTCTTTACTGCGCTTAGTGAAAAACCAGGCATTAAAGAAGACCCTGGCGTCAGTCCGCCTGCAGGTACTCTCTTGGACATGCCCCTGCAGGGAGCCCATTCTCTTCCCACCCTACTTGGTGGAGAGGGGACAGTGCCTATTCCTCACATCACAAGGGGGACTCCTTGGTCACCTTCGGCAAGCAACTCATTCATAAGCGGGGACAAATGACCTCAGTACTAACTGGCTACGTAAATAGCTCGCTGTAATTGACTGCCTTTTGTAACCACAGGGAGGTTGCTGACTTTCTCCACTGGGGGGAAAACTTCAGGGAAGAGGGAATTGAGGCTGCACAGGCGTTTCTGGATGCTTGTCTCGGAGAGAGCAAGTTGTGTGTCTGTCAAATTTGAGGGGAGGATAAGGCCCATTGCATTCAGATTCAACGAGAATTTATCAATGCCTGTGAGAAGAGATGCATTAGAAGGCACAATATCTTATTTTTATTAGCAATCGAGTTAGTACTGTAAATTCACTTAATGATAACTCATAAAAGTCAGGCTTTACAATAACACTGTTTTCCTGGTATAAACGTGATGTTACCCTTGACCTGCGAGCCCCTTATTGATCCACGGCCACCTAACTGCATGGAGCGGAACATTTTAAAACATTTTACACAATGCGGGAAAGCAGCGCCATCTTTCTCTCTACCTGCCAACGCTAAGCTGGCTTTTCCCCCCACGACACTTTGTTGGACTTTTAGGGACATCTTTTCACATCCGCCGGACTGATTTTCATGCCCTTCGGATACATTCCAGAAAGCTCTACCCTTTGGCAGAACAGTTTTAAAACCCACAAATCTATTTTGCCTTGAGGGGTGCGGGTGAGGGCGCGTGTTAGACAGGAGGATCAGCTGTCACCAGACCCTGGAAAGCCAGCAGCTTCCCTAACCTTGACTTTAGCTCCGCTCTCTTTAACCTCTTTGAAAAAGCAGCCCTCAAGATGAGCTGTCCTTTGAATTTTGAAAAGAGAAACGGCCTAGTTTTGATCATCGTGAAAAGGGCATCCGCTTTCAGGAGAGCTTGGGGCAACTTCCCCTATTAAATCGCCCAGGGGATTTTATACCGTCGCGTTCCCCCACGGAGCCCCCATTCGCCAAAGCCACCTAACCTAACCTGCTTCTCGCTACTCGTCTTTCCACACGGGAGAATGGGTGGCAGCACTAAAGCGATCTTATTCTTATTTTTCCCCGCTCCGGGTTTTGTCATGGAAACGTTCACACACAACCTCGATTCAGCGGCCCAGCTCCGCCCAGGGACTGAGGGCTTTTGGGACCCTGCGGGAGCGCGCTGGGCTCTCCGGACTCCCGGGGAAACAGCTGGACGCGACCACGTCTCGGGTAGGGGAGGGGGGAGGCGACGCTCCGCCCCGGCGCGGCCCCGCCCTCCCAGCTCGCCGGCGCCCTCCCCTCGCCGGGGGCTGCGAGTTGCGTTTGGTAAAACCCAACCCTGGAATATATAGATCACTGGAGCGCAATGAAGTAGCTTTTGGCGAGGGAGGGAGGGAGGGGGGCCTGGACAGTCACAGAGGCCAGTGCACGGCGGCGGTGGCACCTTCCTTCTCCTATCCCGGTCGCCCGGCCCGTGAGGAGGCAGCGGCGGCCGCCGGCGCCAGCAGAGCCGAGGCGGCGGAGCATCGAGCTGAGGCGAGGCGGACCGGCAGGAGCGCGCGGCCGGGGCCACGCATCTCCACACTTGCACGGCAACTCCCGCGCCTTGCACCCCCCTCTCCCAGAGACCCGGACTGGGGGCTCGGAGAGCCTCGGTGAAGCGAGCGGGATCCAGCTCCGGAGCTCGTCCAGCTCCGTTCTGAACCTCCCGGGCGCTGGTTCCCCGCGGCGGGGTACCCGCTTCTGCGCTCCGGACGCGCCTCCCGGACAGTCGGGTCTCCGCGGCCAGGACAAAGCCATGAAGCCGGCGCTGCTGGAAGTGATGAGGATGAACAGAATTTGCCGGATGGTGCTGGCCACTTGCTTGGGATCCTTTATCTTGGTCATCTTCTATTTCCAAAGTATGTTGCACCCAGGTAGGGGGCGCGTTAGCGTGGTTTTGTTGGATATTTTTCTCCTCTCTCGCTCTGCTTTCTGCTTCTTCCAACCTCACCTCTTCCCTTCGGCCTCTTTGGGGCTCCTTGCTGCCGGGATCCGCGGGTCACCGAGTTGGGATGGGCAGAGGGAAGGTGCGCTTCCTTTTCCTCTCCAAGCTCCAGGCTGGAGGTTGAGACCCCAAGGAGAGACGGCGTGTGTGGCCCCCGTCTTTCTTTCCCTTTTATTATTATTATTATTATTATTTTTCTTTGTGTCTTGTCTGTTGGCTAGGTGGCAGAGAAAGGTAGGGGTTGTTGGAAGCTGCCGGGGTCGAGGGTTGGTGGGATTCCAACAAAACTCGGTCCGGGTTGCTGTTGAGGGCTGGGACGAAACCGGCTCCGGGAGCCGGCTGCTCTGCTCCAGCGAGCGCTGCTTCTTCCTGGTTGGGTACCCCGGGGCGACTGGTGCACGCCGGGGCGAGGTAGTGGGTCTCTGCAGCCGGCTCGAGAAGCCCTAAGCTGAGCTACCACGTGTTCCAAGCTCGGCTGCGCAGAGCAGGTGTGGGGAGAGGGTGGGTGGGTTCCCGGGTGGGTGGGTTCCCGGCACTTCCCTCCACTCAGCGCGATCTTTTGCGAAACACCCCAGGGGCTAACTCCGCAGTGACCTTGCAGCTGGTGCTCCAGGGACTGGCCCACCCACCCCCTTCTGGCTCTAGACCCAATCTAGGAACTCTAGAGCTTTTGGGGTCACAGTTTGGCCATCACAGCCCTTGGAGATATTTTGTACAGTTCCTAGGCTCATCCCCTCCTCTTGGGTTCTGAGCATTCAGCAGCACAAGAACGAATCCTTCCCCACATCCTCTCTGGCTTCGGCTAAATTCCACGTTTCCTGTCAGGATAGGGAGAACCCAAGCTCCCCTCTTCCGGGGGGGGGGGGGTTCCAGAAGGAAAGTTTGGGATTAGAGAAGAGAGGGGTGCTCTGGGCCCGGCTGTGCTGCACGGCTTAGAAGCCCAACAGGTAGGACTTAGTCTTGGTCTCAGGAACCCCTTCCCCTTTTATCCTGGATCAGCAGACCTGTGCTGGGCCACGTTGGCATCAAGGTTCGTTTTTCGTCGCCTCTGAGTTGCCACAGTAATAATTTAGTTTTCTAATTGCAGGGAGGGAGGAGGGAGAAGGAAGCACATTTTCTTCCAGGGGAAATATGATTGGTTTTGCCTCCCCGCCTTCTTTAAGTGTGTATCTAACATCTTCAGTAGACGCGGCCCCCGAATTCATCAAGCCTGCCTCTTAGTGAATGGCAGAGCCATGAAGCTGTTCTCCGCATCAAACAGACAGGGCTGCCGGCTGTGCAATTCCTTGACAGCGCAGGGACAGACCGGCCCCTCTTCCTTGTGGAACAGTCAGTTGTTAAGGCGGCCTGGCTGCCAAGAATATGGTCTTGTGCTACCGCATGGAAGGAACCCCAGGACACCCCAGCCAGTCCTGGTAAAAGATGGCTTTTGTTTGCTCCTCATATTTTTAGTTTCATGTCAGCAAACTAAAGTGGTGTTTGTCTCCTCGCTCAAAACCTGTGGTTGTGAAACTTCTGAGGGAATTTAAAAATGGACTTTGCTGGCATTCTGGGCTACAAGAGGGTGGGACCAGACAGGCGGACATCTCAAGAGTGCCAGGCTCCTGGGGCCACCCGGGACCAAGCCAGATTCTCTCCCCAGAGGGCTAGAAGACAGGTTGGTATGCAGATATAATGAGACTCCTGCGGTTTAGACAAAGGGCCCAATGATTTGGTCTAGACTTCAGAGCTCTGTTCAGGCCTATTCAAGTTTTGCTGGGACGGTGCATGCCCGGTAATTCTCAGCAGAAATGCTTAGGAGTGCAGAGCAGGAATGTACCTGAACCTCCCTGTACCTGAGCCTCCCTGTACCCGAACCTCCCTGTACCTGAACCTCCCTGTACCTGAACCTCCCTGTACCTGTCCGGTGCTAACAACATTCCATGTGCACGGACCCATAGCTGTGATACTGAGGAAGAAACGTGTTACCTGTAACTGGTGTCTTGCTCTTCTGGCGTTCATCAGAATTTATTAACTTTTTAATTGACTTGGAAGTGGCTTTAGGGTTTTTTTTTTCCTTTTTCAATGTAAGCTTCTGGATCCACAGCCTTGTCTGAGCTTGTGCTGGACTGAATACACCTCTTTGATCCTGTCCTGACGGTTCCTTTCTGGTCCCCTTTTTCTCCCCCAGATGTTTATAATTCATATCACGAGGAGTCTGCTTTTCCCGATCCCCCTTCTAGCGCAGGGCAGATGCTGCTTTCAAAATGCCGATTGGATATGAACCTACGGATGTTTAATTGAAAGTTCTTACTCGAAATTATAGGTCGTGCCGCGGAACCCCTGTTAGTACTGCTATATGGGGCATAAAAATATGCTTTGGAAACAGAATTATGTTTTTTATTCTTTATCTTTCATTTTGTTACCGTCCACTGTTGTTAACTGAGGCCAAGTGATTTTTTTTTCTGCTTTGAACTTTCAGAAAAGATTAGAGAGATTTATTTTATTTTTAATTGCTCCCTCCCTGCCGTGTGTGTGTGTGTGTGTGTGTGTGTGTGTGTGTGTATACAGTGCCTGTGAAGGTCTGGAGAGGGTATAAGATCCCCTGGAACGGGAGTTACAGGTGGTTATGAGCCACCTGATGTGGGTGCTGAGAACCAAACCTTGGTCTTCTGCGAGAAGAGCCAGGGGTCTCTTAGCTGGAGACGCAGCTCCAGCCCTTGCTGCTTTGAACTTGAAAGTGATACAGTCTTCAAGTCTCTGCAGTCTCATGGTCGAGGCAGTCTTTTTGCCTGGGAATTCTCTCAGGATCAGCTTGGCAGAGGCAGAAGGGACCACAATGCAGACCAGACTGTGTCCTGTTCCACCCTCCCCCACTTGAAGTCCTCTGGCAGAAGGTCTCTGGGTACCTATCTGTGGGACAGAAAAGCGATGTGTGAAAGAAGAAATGAACTCTAAGTTTCTTTGCTGGTTGGAGAGGTGTGAGGAGGGAAAAAAAAAACCCAAAACCAAAATGCTGCCCAGCTCTCTGGCTGGCGAATGCCCCCTCCCGTTCTAGTCTGCAGCCCATTGTCTTTGGTATTTTCCTAGCTTATAAGACTGGGTAATTGTGAGCTTGGGTAATTGACCATCAGATAATTGGCCATTGGTTACGCTGCTGAAGATTTAGGAGTGGGCCCCTGACAGTTAGGCAGTTTTCTTTTGAAATCCTTGACCTTTCTGAGTTAATAGTCTTCATGAAGTGGTTTTTTTTTTTTTTTTTGGTCAGGGACAGGATCTTAGAGTTCTTTTCCAATCCAGACATTTGTACAGGTCTGACACATAAAATATTTAAATGTCTGCTAGCTGATCGTATGAAGTAGCCCCTCATCTCCAGCTCCAGGAAGGTAGAGGCTTCAGGGCTTGTCAAGAGTGCCTGGCTTCTCCCTCCAGTTCTGCTGCTTTTGGGGCATGCCCATTCCCAGACTCCTGGTTCTCTGGTGACTGGCCCCAGTTTAAACCCATTAAGAACAGAGCCTTCACCGTGGGCTGCACCGCTCCCGAGGTACCAGGCATGGTAGATACTTCTCCGTGTCCTGGATGTCGGAGAAGGGTGGCCTCAGTTAACCACTGACCTCAATCCATGCTCATGACAGACTCCTCCATAGGGGTGAGCTTCTGAGTTGGAGGTCGGAATCATGTGCCTGTGCTTTCTTCTCCCCTATGAGCCCCTCCATGAACGCCGCCTTTAGAAGCTCATCCCTCCCTTTAAAATGTCTCAGGTACTTGCCCAAGACAGCAGGACTATCCTTTGATGGAGCCCTGTCACGTCTTGCAAAGCTGGAAGGCCTCAGGCTACGCTGGGTCTGGAGCGCCCCTTCAACCTTGCTTTTGTGTCTCTCACTAGGACTGTGGTTTTTGTTTAAAAGCTACTGCTCCTGAGAAGCCTGCCAAGGAGGGAGCTCTCCCTCATTGGTCTCGTCTTCCACCGTCTGCTCGCTTCCATTGTCACCTGGGAATTCCCCGCCTGGGTTGAATGTATGGAAAGATTGCAGCCTTTATTTAAAGACTTCATTGGATCCCGTTGAACACAGGCACATCTGGAAGCATGATTTTCATCTCTAATCCAGTCTGCACATTTGAGAGGCGTGGAAGAGACGCTGTTCTCACTATCCGCCACTCAGAGGCAACTAGATTTTCTCTCTCTCTCTGTAGTGTAGAATGTATACATGAACATCCCTTACCAGAGATTATGATACCCAAGAGGTTCTAGCACTGGGAAGGTTTTGGGAGCCACCACAGCAACACAAGTGGAAAATTCCACACCTGGCCTCGCATGATGGGTTGTAGGTGAATAAAGATATTTAGGGTCGCCTTCAGGCTGTGCATTTAAGGGGAGCCTTTAGAAGCACAAATAAATTTCATGCTTAGTCTTGGGTCCAATCCCCAAGATACCTCACTATACATGGGTAGAGCTCCCGGGATTCAAAACTGTTCCACATCTAAATAGCTTCTGGTCCCAATCATTTCAGATAAGGTAAATAAATATATATAAATAATTATATAGAGAGTACAGTTGAGATCTCATAATGCATTTTGTATCAGTAAAATCTGCTTTATACAAATATGCCATTCTGGTGAGTAATTATTAAAATTTGAGACATGAATTTAGCCACAACCTTTAAAGTTTACGGACCTTTGTGTGTGTCCTCCCTTAGGAGCCCATGCAAAGCAATGGTTCAGTATCATTTATCTCTGTGTTGTTACACACGGCTAATTTTACATTAGGGAATCATTTTGCTTATCTAGAGAATAGGTTTGGGATCATCCCAGTACTTAGGGCTGCATTTGCCTTAGGTCCTTTGAAAAGGGGCCAGGGCGGTCTCAACACTGGGCTGTCAGGAATCCGAAAACGGCGTTGAGCAACTGGAGGATGAGGCCTTCTGGGTCCGAGGTCTTCCCCTAGGAAAT